TCAACTTTAATCTTTAGATGTAATATCAATCGCTATCTACTGTCTTCCTGATTCCTCTTCTTTTATTCTTGCTCTTTAGTAATATTTGTTTTCTAATTCCCACATACTCAGTAACCTCTTGTGTCTTAGTGGCTTTACTGCCTTGCTTGGAGTGAACTCGATTTAAAAAAATATATAACTGTATTCAGCATCTGTCTATATTTCTGAGATGAGGTATTATGTACACGATTTACATTATTCATTATAACGTTTCAGCCTTCTTCAGGTGGTTGGAATGTCGAACTTAACCCTTTATTTCGCTCACTGGTGTAGATTGTTCTAGTTCCACGTGTCATATTTAATGGATGTCAGTTATTTTCCATCTGAAAGTTCTCCACTGCCTTAACCGGGTATTTGGGTCCTGTCACTGGATATAACCAATGCCTTTAACCGTTATCCACTGTGCCATGTGTCCTTGAGTACATCTGCGTATGAATTTCTGGGTATTATAAACCTAATGTATCAGTAATCATTTTTACCAGTGCTCATATTGAAGTTTTTGCTATTATCATTTCATATTTGTTATTATCGCTTTTCTCTGGCACTCCTTATTACTGGTTCCCATATTGTATTCATTTCTGGTGCTCTTGATGCCTTACCTTAAGTGGGTGGCCTGTTTCCCCTTTATTTTTCTTTCCGCAGCTGCACGAGATAGCGTACACACAGTCTTTAGTCATGTTCTCCTCTATGGGGGGTCTTACTCGGGAAAGATATATATGAAGTGTCGTCAAGCTTTTGAAGGTTGTCCTGATGTTATATGGACCGAAGATACTGTTTTCTGAGTGTTGTTGTCCTCCTCTTGTACCCGCCTATCCCAGTGTTTTTTGGATACTACCATGTACCCAGGGTAGTTGTTACGTCATAGAGTACTACTTATACTGACCAATTCTTTATTTAATATCTCTGGGTCGCCTCTTATGCTTTTGCCCGGTGTTGAAGCAGCGGACGATCCCTTTCTTTACGCTGTATGGATGGTTGGAGTTGAAATTGAGGTACTGTCCGGTGAATGTCGGTTTACGGTATACGGATGTCTTGAACCCATGCTCTGTTCGAGATATTAGAACATCCAGGAATGGGAGTGTGTTGTTACTCTCTTTCTCCATTGTGAACTGTATCAAATGTCTTATTGAGTTCATGTAGTCCAGTAGAACCTGAATATCTTCCTGGTGTGGCCAGAGTATGAAGGTGTCATCTACGTACCTTAACTATATAGTTGGCTTTGGAGATATAGATTCTAATGCCATTTCCTCAAAGTATTCCATGTATATATTCGTCATTGCTGGTGATAATGGCGAGCCCATTGCTAAGCCCTCATCCTGTCGATATATGTGTGATCCCATTCAAAAAACTGGGATATTAATATTTAAGTTTACTTTTTAAAGTTGAACGATAATTGTTCTACCGCCATTTTAATTTAAAGACAATTTGATGTACGTAGTTTCTTAATTTCCATACAAACAATTTCTTTTATTTCATGGGTGACTTTCACTGGATTCGCAGTTAATTTCAATTATTCAAAAACTTATATCCAAGGTATAAAAATTGATATCGTACAAAAAAATTCGTCGAAAAAATCAAGTTAAAAAATCGCCGAATACAATTGCAGTAATGAAAACTCAATCCCAAATTTCAGGATTGCGGGTCCGAACCCGGCCCTGTATGTTTATAATTTGCTCCCCCCCGGGGGTGGGGGGTGGGGTTGTCGTCCTGATTCCAGAATGGTATGATATGTTGGGCTACGGCCTCTAGGAGTAACGTCGAAAAAGCGTAACACAGTGACATTCACATTTATTCATAGAATCATTTATTCATAGAAGGTGAGATTTTTAAATTTAGAGAGTTGTGTCTCTTTAATTAAAAAAGTGTGACACACAGAGATTTTCGCAAAATGGATTTTTATTTAGTTTTTCCAAACTTCTTGCATTTTTTCATTTAGTAGGAGTAAGGGAATGCAAAAATTATCTGCATTGTCTATTGTTCCAACCGCTTTCAGTCACTTCTTTAGCTATATTTGTTATAGAGTAGTTTCACAGTGGATGCTTGTATTTCACTAAATCGGTCCTAAAATAGGTTTGACGTACAAAACGTTAGAAACTTGATATAACAGGTAATGACGCAGCAATCTAGTTGTGGTAACTGATACTTTAATATCCGACTAACGGTCGTCCAACATCGACTGACTGACCAACGATATTTAGTCACCCCCCTCCCACAAGGGCATCATGTGGCACAAGGCCGGTTTAACGTGGGATCTCCGAGCCTGTAGGCTCGGCCAAAAATATGCCGATTGAACCCGTATAAACGGATTCAGGGTCAGTTTACCTCCCCGAAAGATAATCCGCACTTCGGCGTAGCCTCCTTTGGGTTCCTCCCCGCCCGAAGGCAGAGAGTTCAACTGATCGACTGGCTGACCAACTCACCAAGCTGACTGCTACTACTCCTACTTATTATAGGTGGGAGA